TAAACCCGTCTTCATGTGGTCTCTGGTTCTAGTTTAAACCCGTCTTCCTGTGGTTTCTGGTTCTAGTTTAAACCCGTCTTCCTGGGTACCGCTGACCCTCGTAGTGAGATGTCTTCGTATCAAAGAGTCGTCAACACTCAGAAGTGCGTTCGAGCCGGAGGGAAACACAACGACCTCGACGACGTCGGACGAGACGTTTATCATCACACATTCTTTGAGATGCTCGGGAACTGGTCCTTTGGAGACTACTTTAAGGTGAGGAGGTGGGAGAGGAGGGAGGAGGGAGGTGGGAGAGGAGGGATGAGAGAGAGGAGGAGGGAGGAAGAAGGAGAGAGGAGGGAGGAAGAAGGAGAGGAGCAGAAGCAGCTCTGTGTATCCTCACTTGTCCTCTCGTCTCCTACAGGAGGAGGCGTGCTCTATGGCGTGGAGCCTCCTCACAATGCATTATGGGATACCTGCAGACAGACTGTACGTGTCGTACTTTGCTGGAGACGCTGCATCTGGTTTACCTGCTGACGAGGAGACTCGACTCATCTGGCTGGAGATCGGGTAGGTCTCACGGTAACCTAGACGACGGCTGATGCTGTGACCTGATTGGTTCACTGCAGGAAGAGTTTTCCATGAGAATCACCACAGATCTCGTCCTCAGGGTTCCTCCGGGTCGCCTCCTGCCGTTCGGCCTGAAGGAGAACTTCTGGGAGATGGGGGACTCTGGTCCATGTGGTCCCTGCACCGAGATCCACTACGACCACGTGGGGGGACGGAACGCCGCGGCGCTCGTCAACGCCAACAGTCCTGAAGTGGTGGAGATCTGGAACCTGGTCTTCATGCAGTACAACAGGTTCATACAAAACCAGTCCAGAACACTGTAAACCATTAGCACTGAACCAGTCTGCTGGTTGTACTGGTCTCCTCCCAGTATAACTGGTTGTGTTCCTGTGTGTCAGGGAGGTGGACCACAGTCTGCAGCAGCTTCCCCGGTTCAGTGTGGATACTGGGATGGGACTAGAGAGACTGGTGAGCGTCCTGCAGGGTAAAAGATCAAACTACGACACGGACCTGTTCACTCCACTGCTGCACGCCATACACCAGGTACACCAGTACACCAGGTACCCCAGTACACCAGGTACACCATAACACCAGGTACACCATAACACCAGGTACACCAGGTACACCATAACACCAGGTACACCAGGTACACCATAACACCAGGTACACCAGTACACCAGGTACACCATAACACCAGGTACACCAGGTACACCATAACACCAGGTACACCATAACACCAGGTACACCAGGTACACCATAACACCAGGTACACCATAACACCAGGTACACCATAACACCAGGTACACCATAACACCAGGTACACATAACACCAGGTACACATAACACCAGTACACCTTAACACCAGTACACCATAACACCAGTACACCGGTACACCCTATCACCGGTTGCCTAGTTACTACCCGGTGTAGTGTGGGGTGATTGACAGCTTCCTGTTGTCATGGTGATGTGTCCGTCCCCAGAGGTCGAAGGTGAGGCCGTACGGTGGGCGGACGGGCTCGGCGGACCAGATGAAGGTGGACACGGCGTACCGAGTGGTGGCCGACCACATCCGCACTCTTTCGGTCTGCATCGCCGACGGAATTCATCCAGGCATGTCGGGAGCAGAGTGAGTCACCGACCAATCGGCTGTCAGGACACGGTTTGTTTGTTCGGTTATCGGTTTATTCCTTTTATTTATTACTCGGGTCTCAGGTTGGTGTTGAGGAGGGTTCTGCGGCGGGCGGTTCGGTTCTGCGTCGAGGTCCTTCAGGCTCCTCAGGGAGTGCTGGCCAGCCTGGTTCCTACCGTCACGCACAGCCTGGTGAGATCCATTACCCATAATGCATCTGACCCCCCCAACCAAACATATAAGAGTTGTGGAAGTCATCTTCATCTCCTGTGTGCAGGGTGACGTGTATCCAGAGCTGCACAGGGAGGCAGACGGGGTGAGTAGAAGAACATCTGGAACATCTGGAGATCTTCCAGAACAGGAAGTGGTCATCAGCAGCTGTTGTTTCTTTCAGATCCAGGACGTCATCAACGAGAACGAGGCTCACTTCCTGTCGTCTCTGCAGCAGGGCAGCAGGCTGATCCACCGGACGCTCCTCAGAAAGGACTACAAACATGGAGTCTTCTTCCCAGCCTCGGTGGCCTGGTCTCTGCACAGGGACCTGGGTTTTCCTCTGGACCTGGTGGACCTGGTGTTGGAGGAGAGGGGGGTCCAGGTGGACCGCGAGGAGCTGGACCGACTGGTGGCAGAGAACCAGAAGGTGAGGTCTCACACTCTGAACTGTCTGTCTCTCTCTGTCTCTCTAAGGTGACGTCTGTCTGTCTGTCTCTCTCAGGTGACGTCTGCCTGTCTGTCTCTCTCAGGTGACGTCTGCCTGTCTGTCTCTCTCAGGTGTCGTCTGCCTGTCTGTCTCTCTCAGGTGACGTCTGCCTGTCTGTCTCTCTCAGGTGTCGTCTGTCTCTCTCAGGTGTCGTCTGTCTCTCTCAGGTGTCGTCTGTCTCTCTCAGGTGTCGTCTGTCTCTCTCAGGTGTCGTCTGCCTGTCTGTCTCTCTCAGGTGACGTCTGCCTGTCTGTCTCTCTCAGGTGACGTCCGGTCTTCAGTCAGGTGATCAGTCTCGGTTGATGTTGGACGTCCTCAGCCTGGCAGACCTGCAGCGTCTCGGTGTCCCTCCCACTGACGACAGTCTCAAATACCAGTACAGACTGGACAAGGACCGATACGGTATGACTTGTTTCTCTTTCTGCTGAACTCGTGTCTCACCTGTTCAGACAGGTAAAGATTACCTGTTCTCCTCCTCCCAGTGTTCCCAGCATGCAGTGCAACTGTCGTGGCTCTGTATGACGGTCAGACTCTGGTGTCAGAGGTCACTGAGGGTCAGCGTTGTGGAGTCATTTTGGATCAGACCTGCTTCTACTCTGAGCAAGGGGGGCAGTCACAAGACCGGGGCTACTTCACCCGAGACGGATCACAGGTCAGCTGTAATGCATCATGGGAAAGATTACCTGCTGTGTGTCCAGGTGAGGTCTGACTCTAGTTGTGTGTTTTCTGTCTGTCAGGACGTCCTGTACCCGGTGGAGGCCGTGATCCTGGCAGGGGGGTACGTGGTCCATCAGGTGACTGCTGCTGACAACCTGAAGACCGGAGACCAGGTCCAGCTACACCTGGACCAGGTAAATAAGACTGTGGTCCAGAATCAGCACAACAGTATCAGATGATGTCGTCTGCATAAAGACGGACACTCTTGTCTGTCTGTCTCTCTCTGTCTATGTCTCTGTCTCTGTCACAGGTCCACAGATTGTCCTCTTGTCTGTCCCGTGTCCACAGGTCCACAGATTGTCCTGTATGGTGAATCACACGGCGACTCACATCCTAAACTTTGCTCTGAGGACAGTTTTGGGTCGTTGGGTTCATCAGAGAGGATCTCATGTGTCAGCTGAGAGGCTTCGCTTCGACTTCAGTGTCAAGGTCAGACAGCTAAACTCTAACACTATATATATATGTCTATCTATCTATCTCTGTTTACATTCACCTGTACATATTCAGGTAAATACATACAGTGTGTATTTAATCTTCGTCCTCAGAGTTCTCTGGACGTTTCTCAGCTGCAGCAGGTAGACAGGTGTGTTCATGACATCATCTCAGCCAATCACATCGTCCACAGCCAGGAGCTTCCTCTGCAGGAGGCCAGGAGGATCAAGGGACTGAGGACAGTGGACGAGGTGAGCCTATCTCACTGCCTGTCTCACTGCCTGACTGTCTACAGGTGGACTGACTGTCTCTCTGTCTACCTGTCTGTCTGCAGGTGTATCCGGACCCTGTTCGGGTGGTGTCTGTGTCTGTAGCGGTCTCTGAACTGGATGATGAGACGGACAGAGAGACGTCTGTTGAGCTCTGCTGTGGGACGTAAGACTGAAACACACCTGTCCACCCGTTTACCTGTCCACCCGTTTACCTGTCCACCTGTTCCATGAACACGGTGCTGTTTCTTAGCAACACATTTAACAGAAAGATGTCCAGCAGGTTGAGACACGAACTGAGCACTGCTGCATGTAGTATTAACTGGGTACCCACTACATAGTAGTAACTGGGTACGCACTACAAAACGTGTTAAACAAAACGTTTTAAACGTGTTAAACAAAACGTTTTAAACGTGTTAAACAAAACGTTTTAAACGTGTTAAACAAAACGTTTTAAACGTATTAAACAAAACGTGTGTGACGGCCTCTTGCTTGAAGCAGGGCCTGTTGTCTTGCAGGTCCCTTGTAGGCGGACAATTGGGAGCACTTCGCCAGTCTCCCAGGGGTATTTAGGACCTGCCTGCCGCAGTCTGAAAACCCCTCTGCTCCTGCAGCATCATGTTTTCATTTGTTGAGTAATAAATGTACCCCTTTCCGTTTTAAAAACCCGTGTGTCTCCCGTTTTTGTAATGCCTCACGAGCCGGGTCGTGACGTGTGTTTAACGTGTTAAACATGTAACCATGTGTGTGTTCAGTCACCTGCTGCAGACCGGCGCCATCGAGGATCTGCTGATCGTGTCTGAGAGACAGATGGTGAAAGGAATCAGTCGCATCATCGCTGTGACGGGACGGGAGGCCAAACAGGTCAGTGACGAACATCACACACACGTGATTCACCCATCTGTCCGCCACTGAGAGACGGCCAGTAGCCTGGTTAGCCTAGCTTAGCACAAACAGCTGCATGTTTTTACATCTTTAGTGTTAATAAACAATTTAAAAGTGTATCTCTTTATTACATGGTTATTGTTAATAGATCAGATTCTGTTATTATCCACTCTTGTGTTACACCAATCTTCCATAAATCTGTTGTAATGGTCTGGTTTTATACATTATTTTCTCTGATCATATGTATTGATTTATTTCAGTTTGTCTGATGTTCATGTTGTTGCCTTCAGGCTCGTGAGGAGGGTCACATGTTGTCTCAGGATGTGGACTCTCTGTCAGCCAGACTGACAGGCTCCGCCCCCTCCGGCCTAGACGCCGCCCAGCGTCTCGCCAAGGAGGTCGGGGTCCTCTCTGATGTAGGTACCCATGATTACCCATTACCCATGATGCACTGCTGCCTCTGAGATGATAAAGCGTGTCCTGTGTTCCTGTTCAGTGACTGGTCTTGCTTGGCCCTGTGTTGTGTCTGTCAGGCTGTAGATAACACCCCCATCCCTCAGTGGCAACGCAGAGATCTGCAGAGTCGACTCCGAGCTCTGCAGAGGACCAGTAACACTACAGTCAGGAAACTGGAGACTAGAGAGGTGAAGACACACCTGAGACACTCCTCAAACTCAGCTTTGACATATGAGACATACCTGAGTCTCACCTGAGCATATAATACAAAGTGTTTGACGTGACGGACCCTCAGGTGTGTCTGTGTCCTTCCTCTGACTGTGTTTTCCCATCATGCTTTGCACAGGCTGCGGTGAAAGCTCAGGCTCTGCTGGAAAAGAACGGCTGGAAGAACCTACAGGTGGATTCTGTGGAGACGGACTCTCTGTCGGTAAGATCAATCAACCTGATCAATAACTCCCACACCTGTCTGTGGTCACGTCTACCTGTGGTCATGTCTGTCGTCTCCTGTCAGATTCTGATGAAGACGGTGAATCAGCTGAGCGCTGCGGTTCCTCGCAGTCATGTGATGCTACTCGCTCACCAAAAGCATTCTGGGAAGGTTCTGTGTGCCTGTCAGGTCCCTAAGGTAATGAAGACACACCTGTCACTGACATCACAGGGGGGCGGGGCTTCACTTGAAGCGTCTCATTGGCTGTTCTCTCCCTCAGGACTCGGCGGCCCTGTCGGCGTCTGATTGGGCGGCGGCGGTGTGTCGTCACCTCGGGGGGGGGTGCCGGGGGCTCTGTGCTGGTTGCCAAGGGAACGGGAAGCAGCGGTGACATCACAGAGGCTCTGAGGTGGGCGGAGGAGTTTGCTCGCCAGGAAACACAACGATGATGTCACAAAGTGAGAGATGACATCACAGGGCACAGCTTGGGAGGGGCGGGGCTTCCCTTTGCTGCTGTCAGTCACTGAAGGGCTTTCATGAACTGTTAACAAAGCTAACCATTAGCATGCTAACATGTAGTTTGTGCTGCTATCGTACTAAAGGCACAGGTGACTGTGAGGCCCCGCCCGGGACAGGTGTGAAGGTGTATTATTTATAACTGATATTTTATAAATCTGAACTTTACATATTGTTTTACAATAAATCACTGCTCACTCATTCACATATTTACTGTCTTTATTGTTAAGGCATTAATAACTGTTCTATAACAAGGTTTACAGATATTATTAAGGCATCAGGTGTGAAGCATCTTTGCTATCAAACAAAATAAATGACTCATTGATGAAATACAAACAGTCTGCTAAACCAACCAGAACACAGCATTCATCTAATAACAGGTTTATAACGGCCTATAATGTAGTTGTTAGTGTTTATTTGTCTGCCGTATAAAGAGATAATGATCCTTAATATAAACTGTCAAGTTATACAGAACATTAATAAACACTCATAGCTACATTATAGTATGTAATAAACCATTGATTACATAAATTGATAGATGATCAATAAGGTGGAACATCACTAACGTCCCTCATGATCACTATTCAACATTCCCCACAAAGACAATAGTTCTGCTGTGATCCGGATCAGGTTAGTCCAGGTTCCTCAGAGCAGAGACGCATTCAGCCACTGCAGAAGAACCACATTCATGTTAAACGGGTTCTACCGTGGAACAACTTTAAACTTTATATTCAGGTTAAACGAGTTCTACCGTGGAACACATTTAGACTTTACATTCACATTAAACGAGTTATACCGTGGAACACCTTTAGACTTTACAGTCACATTAAATGGGTTCTACCATGGAACAATTTTTAAACTTCATGCCCCACGGCCTCCAGGAGTGTTCAACGTGTGAAGGAGGAGTGAAGCTTCTTACCTCCATCATGGTGAACTCAATAGTTCCTGAGTTATCTTTGTCCAGCGTGGTGAACGTGTCTGTGGAGAGGAAACATTCATCATCATCATCATCATCATCATCATCATGGAGTCCTAAGAGGACTGTAAAGGAACTCACCAAACATGGTCTCCAGACGAACCAAACAGCTCACAAAGTTGTCGAAGTCGACGGTTAGATCCGGGTCACTGTAACGAGCCACCAGGACCTGATGGAGCGTGTTGTTCAGACTGAAACCTGGAATGAGGTCACAGAGGTGAATACATTACTAAGAGGTTTAATTGCGTTGGAATACCGTATTATGTTAAAGTATTTTACCAGCTTCCTCCACAGCCGTCCTCATCTCAGTGGAGCTCATCGTCCCTGAATTGTCCACGTCCTTCTCACGGTAAATTTTCTGAGAACAGCACAGACTTTATTAAAGATCTGGTTCATGGTGTCCTGGTGGATCTACAATGTAACCTGGTTCACATGGAACCAGACAAAACAGGTTCTGGATCTAAGACTCACCAGGTAGTTCTCGATTTTGGTCCACAGCACTTTGAACTCCACCAGACCCAGTTTACCGCTGCCGTCTTTCTGCAGCAACAGTTCAGGAACATGACACATGATGTTTACACTTGCTCACATACCTGTAATATTTTACCCATCAGCCACTGCGGCAGCTTCTCTGTGACATGGAGGACTTGTCTCTGGTTTCTGCAGACTAAACCAGTTCTTACCTGAACTATAAACTAAGCCGTATTCGTGCTAGAAGGATACGTCCAGCATGTTGATCATATTACGACACGTTGAGATGCTGAAGCCGTTGGTCTCGATGTCCGAACCTGTCAGAGACAAACAGGTCAACACCTGAACCCGTTCACGCCTGAAGATGAACCCGAACCCGTTCACACCTGAAGATGAACCTGACCCCGTTGACACCTGAAGATAAACCTCAACCCGTTCACACCTGAAGATAAACCTGAACCTGAAGGTAAAACCTTTGTGTCTCACGTTTGGTCACCACTTTGTTGAGGATCTTCTGCAGCTCGAAGGTCGAGATCTCACAGTCCTGCAGCACAGAAGCTCCATTAGTTAGAAATGAGGTATTTTATATAAAAGTATACATACGTATACAATAAATATAGTAAATGTACTACATGAGCAGCTCACCCCTCCTGCCAGCTGTCCAAACAGACTTCTGAACCGATCGTCTACATCATCTTCATCGATGTCGATCTAAAAACGAAAGTTCATCGGTTATTTCTCCAACCAGGAAGAAGTTAATCGGTCAAAGTTCTGAAGTCAAGTCTCACCTTTTCCACTCTGGACTCGATGGGGTTGTCCAGCTCTCTGCAGGGACAAAGATATCAGCTTTAGAGGACAGTTGTGTCTAGTTTTACAATGATTTAACAAGTTAAAGTTCAGTGAAGACTTACTGGAACTCAGCCTGTTTCTCGGAGAAGACACGGACACAGAAGTCTCCATTCTTTTGCGCCTCGAAGGTGGACGGTAGGATCAGATATTCTCCCGGTGGCAGACAGAAGCGGCTGCAGACTTCTCGCAGGTTGATGAAGGTTTCGGAGCGAGCAGCCGAGGCGTTACGCAGGAAGAAGTTCCTGTTCAGGTGGACGTTCCTCTGACCGCGGTTCTGACGGAGGAGACACAACAAAGGGCGACAACGTCAGACTGAATGCGTCTCAGATAAACTATCAAAATGTGGAGCAACAAATGCTGAGCAGACAGGAAGTGAGACACCGATGGTCTTCGTACCTCTTCAGGAACCTGGAACAGAAGAAAAGAGGAGAGTTAAACCTTCAGATTCGGTTCACTTTGTTCGTCAGCAGGTTATGAAACATGGAGGTCTATGACGTGGACCAAAGAGGATCCTTCTACTTCAACATAGAACCCTGAACCGGGGTCTAGACCACCACCTCCCTGAGACCACTATTCTACGACTGAATGAGAGTCTAGTGATGGTGAATCAGCCCAGAGATCCACTTCCTGTTTCCTCTCTGAGCGTTTGGAAAACACAAACATCGTCTCCTAGACCGACTGATCCTAGACCGACTGATCCTAGACCAGCTGACCCTAGTCTGACTGATCCTAGTCTGACTGATCCTAGTCCGACTGATCCTAGGCCAGATGATCCTAGACCGACTGATCCTAGGCCGACTGATCCTAGACCAGATGATCCTAGACCAGCTGAACTGAGAACAGGATTAGTCCAGTTTCCTGCAGCACTACTCGTCTCAGTCTGAACTGGTTCAACCAACCTCTTTGAAGGTAAAATCTCAAGAATCTGAAAGGCAGATTTTGAGAACCTCCTTCATAAATGGTTCGACCTCCAGAGACCCAAAACCCCCACAACCGGTCTCACCTCGTAGATGGCGAATCCCACCGTGTGCATGTCTTCTCCCATTTTCCTCATGCGTCTGCGGTTCTTCTGGATAAGACCAACCACGAAGCTGCAGCCGTTCTCTCCGTCGTCCGGGTCGTCGTCCTCCTCGTCCAGACGGATCACAAACTGAGGGTTCGTCCAGAACGTGTCTGCGGTTTAAAAACAAAACCGTAGAGTTTGAATGAAGTGAGTTTTATTTAGTTTGTTAGTTTGAATGAAGTGAGTTTTATTTAGTTTGTTAGTTTGAATGAAGTGAGTTTTATTTAGTTTTAGGTTGAATGAAGTGAGTTTTATTTAGTTTGTTAGTTTGAATAAAGTGAGTTTTATTTAGTTTGTTAGTTTGAATGAAGTGAGTTTTATTTAGTTTGTTAGTTTGAATGAAGTGAGTTTTATTTAGTTTTAGTTTGAATGAAGTGAGTTTTATTTAGTTTGTTAGTTTGAATGAAGTTCATCAGACGGATCTCAAACTGAGGGTTCGTCCAGAACGTGTCTGGGTTTTAAAAACAAAAACCATGGAGATAAAAACAGCTGTGACTATGGGGAGCACTAAACCATCCTCTCTGGTCTGACAGGATCACTCACTCGGAAAGTTCCTGCAGCCTCCGGCAGTGGATCCTCTCCTCCAGCTGCCGTCGAACTTGGACAGAGACCACTTGGAGACGGAGTCGTCGCTCAGGGCGTCGGGCGTCAGGTTGCAGATCTCCAGCCGGGAGTAATGTCGCAGGAAGTCATTGAAAGACATCCTGGAAGACAGAGCAGAGGGTTTTCACTTCCCATAGCCACCTGATGATGAGTTCAGGTAGTTTGGAGATAAAAAAGTGAGTTTTACCAGAACTCTCCGTCCTCTGAGCGATGGCTCAGACGCTCTCGGTCCTCGTCACTGATCTGACGCCACTGAGCCGAGCTGTCAGATAGGAAACAGTTTCAGAATAAGAGTCTGAAATATCACGTCAACAAGAAACTAAACAGTTGACCCTCCGGATCACTGAGTGCACAGTAACCACTTCACAGACTCCACCCGGCTGACGTAGACAGCAGGGAGGTGCCAGGTGACAGAAGCAAGCTGACAGGAGCTCCAGGTGTGAACATGACACCTGCTCAGGTAACTCAGTCCAATCAGTCACGTTAGTACAGGAGCCACCGTTGTTTAGCTGCTGCTGGAAACACCCTGAAGCTCTTACTACTGCACATGTAGTACTCCTGTAGTACTCAGGTAGTAAATATGTAGTACTCCTGTAGTACTCATGTAGTAAACATGTAGTACTTGTGTAGTACTAGTGTAATACTAGTGTCCTTATAGTACCATTAAAAGGACTCACCCACACAGTCATACTACAGTAGTGTGATTCTAGATGTAGTTCTACAACAGTTGTAGTTGTAGGTCTACAACAGAGTTCTCAAAGTCTGATATCAGTTCACATAGTGGACAGATCTGAGATCAGCTCCATGGATGTACAGACGTCACAGGATAGAGATTCTTTATGGAGGTTTATTGTGGATCAGAGATGATGGTCTCTGAATAATACCAACATGTGTTTCACGTTTCACTGAGTTATGAACAAGAGAACAAACTTCACCTCCTGCAGTATGTTTCTCTTTAACTATTCCTCCACTTACGTCAACATCATACTCACTTATCGCTCCAGGCTCCGGTCCACTCCACCTGACCCCAGGGGTTCCTGATCCGGATCAGCTTCTCCATGTTGCCACGGTACTCCACCTGCAGCCAATCACACGCAGCGCAAAACCACAGAGTTACATCTGATAGGACGATCAGCAACCCCATCACTTTAAAATTCACCAATAAAGAACTGAAGCCCCGCCTCTATTCAGGTGAGACAGGTGTTTGAGGGAAACAAAGATCTGCCTTTTAGGACTCAAAGGTTCCAGTTAGCCGCTCCTACTGACTCATGGGAAATGTATTCAATGTTGTGGTGAGGCTTTCACTTTTATATAAAATTATGTTTCAGGTGTTCAGACAGGTGAATGTAGGGGGCGGGTCCTCTCACCTGAGCTGCACCTGTCACAGAGTAGGCGTGGCCTTTCACCAGCTTCTGAGAGGTAACTGCCTCGGAGTCAGATGAGCTGGTGATCTGAAACAAAAATTAAAAACTGCTTATTAACTTAAATACAAATGTTTAACCTCTGTATCAGTTGTGATTTTATTTTCAAAGAAATAAATAAATAAATTCAGAGATAAATGAGATAAAAGATAAATTAATATCTAACAGCACCACGTCTAAGGCTCCTATATGGGCTGTGATGTACTGATGATGAATTAATGTGGGTTCATTACAGTACTCCTGTTGTACCCCTGTGGTACCCATGTGGTTCCCCTGTAGTACCCCTGCAGTACCCTTGTGGTTCCCCATGTTGTCCCTATGTGGTACCCCTGTGGTTCCCCATGTTGTTCCCCTGTGGTACCCATGTGGTATCCCTGTAGTACCCATGTGGTTCCCCTGTAGTACCCCTGTGGTACCCATGTGGTTCCCCTGTGGTACCCCTGTGGTACCCATGTGGTTCCCCTGTAGTACCCATGTGGTTCCCCTGTGGTACTCATGTTGTACCCCTGTAGTACCCATGTTGTACCCCTGTAGTACCCATGTGGTTCCCCTGTGGTACCCATGTGGTTCCCCTGTGGTACCCATGTTGTACCCTTGTGGTTCCCCATGTTGTCCCCATGTGGTACCCCTGTGGTTCCCCATGTTGTCCCCCTGTGGTTCCCCTGTGGGTCCCCATGTAGTACCTTTGTGGTTCCTCTGTGGTACCCATGTTGTACCAATGTGGTTCCCCTGTGGTACCCATGTTGTCCCCCTGTGGTTCCCCATGTTGTCCCCATGTGGTACCCCTGTGGTTCCCCATGTTGTCCCCCTGTGGGTCCCCATGTAGTACCTTTGTGGTTCCCCTGTGGTACCCATGTTGTACCAATGTGGCTCCCCTGTGGTACCCATGTTGTCCCCCTGTGGTTCCCCTGTGGTACCCATGTTGTACCAATGTGGTTCCCCTGTGGTACCCATGTTGTCCCCCTGTGGTACCCCTGTGGTACCCATGCAGTACCCCTGTGGTTCCCCTCGGTGTTCTCAGAGCTTACGTCAATGGAGCAGCCCATCAGTGAACCACGGTGCTGGGCTTTCTGGATGATGTGGAACAGATGTGGATCAGGTGTATTTAGGTTGTGGACCTCAGCGATTCCTCCGGTGAAATCCTCAAACCCCTCAGTGGTGGATCCTCCAGACAGAGCCTCGTAACAGCCGTTCAACCTGCAGCGACGTCACATGTCATTAACACCTGAAGACTAACTGGACAGGTGAGTCCACAAAGTAGGTGTTCAGTCTTTGACGACATGAAATGGAGTGTGTATACTACACACTATACACACTGTGTGTATAGTATGCACACTGTGTGTGTGTGTGTGTGTGTGTGTGTGTGTGTGTGTGTGTGTGTGT